AACCCACTCCAGTATTCTTGCCAGGAGAATCCCATGGACAGAGGAGCCTCGTGGGGCTACAGTCCATGGGGTCGAAAAAGAGTTGGACAGGACTTAGTGACTAAACAACATCAACAAATGTTGCGTGCATCAGTAGTTGTTCCTTTTTACCATCGAGTTGTGTTCCGTCATATGGATGGAACACAGTTTGTTTATCCTTTCATTTGATAATGGACATTTGGGTTGCTTCCAGTTCGGGATAGTTATGTATAAAGCTACTATGAGCTATCTTATTCAGACCTCTGTGTGGGTGTTCATTTTCTACTGTATGCTTTACTTCTTTTTTTGATTATAGTTGAATTACTCTACTGTAATTTTAATTTAATTTTACTTTTATTTTGGGATATAGTTGAGTTACTGTATTTTATTTCTACACCAAAACGTGTGAGTCCCTTGTAATTCATTTTTGCACACACTCTGAAGTAGGGGTCAGGCTGTTTTGTTCTGGGCAAACCGGCAAGGCAGATAACATCTTTCCTGCAAAGTTGCGACATCAACTTAACCGACATCGCGTCATCGTTCTCTCCTGTTTGTTTCTGGATTCCCTCTGGATGTTTTCCTGGAGCCAGGGTCATGCTGTGTGGATGACTGTGCATTTTGCTGTTTGGTCAGGCAGGTGTTACCTCACTGTTCAGGAGTCTTGACCTCAGAGGCTGTTGAGGAGGGTGGGTATGACCTGACTGACTCTTCACTGACAGCCAACTGGCTGGGTGAGGGTGCCGGTGCCAGGCCCAGCACTTGGTGTGAGAGGTGGAGTTCAGAGTTGACAATATCCATGATAGTTGCATCAGACGCAGTTGGTCGGGAAGAGAGGGACGAGATGAAGCTCTGTGACTATGACCTTAAGGATTCTGCCATCTTATTTTCTGTAATTGACAAGGCAGCTTTCCAACCATGGCCGTGTGCTGGTAGATGTTTTCCCCCACCCCAAGCTGGGTGGAAGTCCTCTCTGAGGGCATGTTTCCACCCTACCTTGTTCTTTCAGGTGCTCCTTGGGTTGGCTCAGGACGTGGGCCTCCATGAGTGGCAAAAGTACTCGGCCCTTGTGGAGGAGGGGGACCAGTTCTCTTTCCCACCTGGGTCAGCTTGGATGTGTCACTTCTTCTTTCCGTTCTTTGGGTCCTGTGAACAGGGATGTTGGGCTAATTCCACACTCTGGGCCCTGCAAACAGGGACACGAGGCCGACTTCTGATTCAGACTCCTGCCTGCCTGGAGTCTCTGAGTCAGTGGGGAGAGGCAGGGTAGCTGTGAGCTGCCTTGACTGTCCTGGTTAAGATGGAGGGTCTGCTACTTCCTGAGCAGGACTTTGGGCACCTGACTTAATCTGTCAAGCTTCTGTCCCCTGAGAAGCCGGGATACTGCTGGCCCTTTCCTCCTCGGTCAAGATTAGAAGCGATGGTGTGTTTTTTGTTCTTTTTTTTCCAGCCACACCATGAGGCATGTGGTATTTCCCCCAACCAGAGAGCAAACTTGTGCCCCCTGCACTGGGTCTTAACTACAGAACATCCAGGGAAGTCCTGGAATGGTGTCTTTTTGTTTTTTGGCATAGAACTTGGCTGGTAGTAATGCCAGCTGGAAGGAACACAGGGTTGGCATTTTTTTTCTCAGGGTTGATATTTTGGTAAGACAGTTTTGCTTAATTTTTTTGAAAGATTTTTTTTGATGTGGACCATTTTTAAAGTATTTAATTTGCTTCTGTTTCATGTTTTTGTTTTTTTTTTTTTTTACAGATTTTTTTTTTTTTTTTTTGGCCATGAGGCTTGTGGTATCTTAGCTCCCTCTCCAGAGACCAAACTTCCACCCTTGCATTGGAAGGGCAAAGTCTTAATCGCTGAACTATCAAGGAAGTCCCCAGCTTTGCTTAATTTTAGTAATAACACATGTGTACGTGTGTGTGTATGTTCAGTTGTTCAGTTCTTTGTGACCCCATGAACTGCCCCACGCCAGGCTTCCCTGTCCTTCACCATCTCCTGGAGTTTGCTCAAACGCATGTCCATTGAGTCAGTGATGCCATCCAACCATCTCATCCTCTGTCGCCCCCTTCTCCTCTTGCCCTCAATCCTTCCCGGCATCAGGGTCTTTTCTAATGACTTGGTTCTTTGCATCAGGTGGCCAAAGTTTCAGCTTCAGCATCAGTCCTTCCAAGTAACACATGTAACAAATTCATTAATACTGATTGCTACAAAGTAGCAAATGTAAGATGCCATTTCCCAAATAATTGGGTCCCTGGCCCATAGCAGCTGAAGTGGGTGGTGACGGTGAGTCAATAAAGTAGTTCCTGCGACTGGCTGGGTCAGGCTGTTTGTGGGTTGGTTTCAGTCAACTGAGAAGCCCACAGGGGAAATAAGTGCATTTCTCTGCAGCTTTCGGTTCAGGGTGAGCATTTTGCTTTCAGCATTCTTTAGCAGGAACAGGCTCTGAAATAATTCTGGAAGTTTTCCACCGTACATACTTGCGCAGATGTACAAAAGCATGGGTCCGGGGATGTCCAAGGTGGCTGTGCTGGTGAGAAGGAAGGACTTGAAAAAGATTTCTATAGGCCCCTATGAGGAGCTGGTGACACAAGGCAGAAAATCTGGGGCTGTCAAAAAGCAGGGCAATCTTCCTCGTAGGAGTGTATCTTGTTTATTTTACAAGCATTTCTGCATACATAGGAAATGAATGTGCAGGCTCATTTATGGCAGCATGATTTGAGGACTGCAGAATTTTTGGAAGCCATCTGGGCACTCCTTGGTAGATGGCTGTTTAGACAGACAATGGGGCCAGGCACCATGTGGGGCCTCTGTAGCAGCAGAAATAAGCTCCCCGGAGGGCCGGTGGGCAGATCTCCAGATACAACGGGCAGAAAGAGCAAATTGCAAAAGATAACCTTTGCGGGTGCGGGAAATGCTTGTTTCTTGATTGCGGCATTGGGTTTGGGAGTGTGTGCCTTTGTCTAAACTTACTGAACTGCACACTTTTAAAATGTGTCCGTGAGAACTCAGTGAAGTTGATTTAAAAAAGAAAACAAAATCAAAACCAAAAGAGCAAGGTGCAAAGACTTCCCTGGTGGTTCAGTGGTGAAGTCTGCATGGCCCCACTGCAGAGGCACGGGTTCGATCCCCTGGTAGATCAGCTGGTAAAGAATCCTCCTGCAATGCAGGAGACCCCCGTTCGATTCCTGGGTCGGGAACTTCCCCTGGAGAAGGGATAGGCTACTCACTCCAGCATTCATGGGGTTCCCTTATGGCTCAGACGGTAAAGAATCTGCCTGCAATGCAGAAGAACTGGGTTCAATCCCTGGGTTGGGAAGATCCCTTGGAGGAGGCATGGCAACCCTCTCCAGTGTTCTTGCCTGGCGAATCCTCATGGACAGAGGAGCCTGGTGGGCTACAGTCCATGGCATTGCAAAGCGTCAGACACAACTAGGCATAGCTCTTTGTCAGGCAAGATCCCGCATGCCTTGAGGAACAGCCAAAAAAATCAAACACACAAAAACTAAAAATGCAAGGTGAAGATAAATGGGAAAGATGAGAAAAAACATTCAGGTTTGCCTTTATTTGCACACAGAAATCCTCGAAGGAAGCCCAAGATGTTTGTAAAAATACTGTTTTTCTAGAAAGGTGGAGGAACAAACATGAGGTGGCTGAGATAGTTTCCTTTTCTACAAAGTTTAGATTTTAGAACCATATGACTAGCACTGATCCCATGTTGAAATGAGAAAAAAAAAAAAGTTCTGATATGAACATTCGACTTGTGGCTAGATAGAATGCATGCAGAACTGAGTGTATGTGGAGATGCTCTTTGTGAAAAAGGGGAGTTTTTTTTTTTTTTATTATGGAAGGAAAGAACACTAGAGGAGGAAGCTTGTTTCATGTTGTACCCTTCTATTTGGTGTTTTTTTAAAAAAATTAATTTATTTGGCTGCATAGGATCTTACTGAGGCACTCAGGATCTTGCTGGGTAGTTGTGAGTGCAGACTTAGTTGCTCCACAGCATGTGGGGTCTTAAGTTTCCCCACCAGAGAGCAAAGCCATGTCCCCTGCACTGGAAAGCAGATTCTTCTTTTTTTAATTTTTATTTTGAATCCGGGTATAGCCACTGAACAATGTTGTGACAGTTTCAGGTGAACAATGAAGGAACTCGGCCATACGTATACATGTATCCATTCTCCCTCAAACTCCTCTCCCATGCAGGCTGACACAATATTGATCAGAGTTCCACAGTAGGTCCTTGTGGTTATCCATTTTAAATATAGTAGTGTGCACATGTCCATCCCGAACTCCCTAACTATCCCTTCACCCCCGGCAACCATAAGTTCTTTTTCTAAGTCTGTGAATCTCTTTCTGTTTTTTAAGTTCATGTGTATCATTTTTTTTTTTTTTTTTTACTACACATATAATACACATATAGTATTTCTCCTCGCCTGACTTAGGAACGCAGATTCTTAACCACTGGACCACCAGGAACTTAAGTACCTGTTTGGCCTTAAAATCGTACTCATGGATGAGGCCAGTCGGTTACAGATGAGACTAAGAGATGAAGGTGCAGAACGAGGATGGTGGGGGAGCCCCAACCTTTCCAACCCCATGTATTGCATCTCGCCAGGAAGTTAAGGAAAGAGACGCACACATGTTCAGCCTTTGCAAGTTTTTCTTTTATTGTCTATTCGGCAGTGACAGAAGGATGCCTGATCCAGGGGAAAGCTCTGCCTTCCTCCCTCCTTGCCCCTCAATGCCCGGAACTCAGGCTGGGCGAGCCCAGTCACGGGGCCTGGCACTCTGGCCCAAACATGTGTCCATGTTTCTTTCAGACACGGGCATCTATGTCACAAGTTCCTCATCTGCCCTTCTCTTTCCTGCTCTGCCTTCACACCACGGGCTCCTGAGAAAGCCTGCCCACGGGCAGGGGGAGTAGGGAGGGGGTGTGTGTGTGTCCCAGCGGGGCCCACCCACCCACCGGCAGGGAGGCGCCTTCTCACTCAGGCCCCAGCATGGAGCCTGCGGCGGTGGTGATGCTCGGACCTGGCTCGCCTCGGCAACCTGGTCTTGAAGAGGGACTTGCCCGAGGCTTCAATGTAAGTGACGCTCATCTCCTTGGGGCTGATCTCTACGTAGGCGAAGCCACCCAGTGAGTTCTCGGCCCCGTAGTGGAAGCGCAGGTAGCCACTGGGGACTTTGCGCGTGTGCTTCTTCGAGGGGTCCATGAAGTTCCCGGCCCCGCTCAACACGAAGCCCAAGCCGTTCTCATCCTGAAGGTACTGTGGACAGAGGACACAGGGTCGGCGGAGCCCCCAGCCCCTCAGTTAGGCGGACTGTGGACTGGGTACCCACCTGTCTTGGGTGCAGGCTCAGGTCTGCACTTCACCAGAGTCACCTTGAGCAAGGAACATAACCCCGGCCCCCCAACTCATGCCACCCCCGCCAAGTCTCCAGTTTCTTCACCTCTGGGAGCATGTTGATCTGGGGAAGCAACTGGCAACAGGCACCCCTGGGAGGGCTTTTGGGGAACTTTGGGCTGTGTTCTGGTTAGCAAGCATAGAGTTTGAGGGATAGTGATAATTGAGAGGGCCCCAAATAGGAGGGGCACTCCCAGACGGCTCTGGTAAAGAAGCCTCCTGCCAACGCAGGAGATGGGATTCGATCCCTAAGTCGGGAGGATTCTCCTGGAGGAGGGCATGGCAACCCTCTCCAGTGTTCTTGCCTGGAGAATCCCGTGGACAGAGGAGCCTCGCGGGCTACAGCCCACGGAGTTGCAAAGAGTCGGATATGACTGAGCACACACACACGAACAAGAGGACCCCCAATGCCACCCCACGTGGCACACGGGCCAGGCTGGGGACGTCCTCCCCTTACCAGGGCCCCAGGCCACCCTGGGGACCCTCACCTGCAGGTTGTGGTCGTGGCCACACAGGTAGGCGGTGACCTTGTGCGCGGTCAGCAGCGGCAGCAGCTGCTTGACCAGGCAGTGGGTGGGCCCGTGCTCGGCGACAGACCACACAGGGTAGTGGCCGGCCACCAGCACGTAGTCCTCCTTGGCCGCTGCCAGCTGCTTCTTGAGCCAGGCCAGCTGCGTGCGGGCCATCGCCAAGTTGCGGGGCCTCTCGGGCTGCTGGCTGGCAAAGTCGTCAGAGTTGCCGCATAGGGTCACGGTGTCCAGCATGAAGATGGCCACGGACACGTTGGACCGGGGGATCTTGAAGCGCAGGCGGTAGTAAGGGCTGGGGAACTTCCTGCAGATGGTTCAGAGAAAGGGGTAGGTGTCCATCTCGGGCGGAGACGCCCCGGGCTCAGTTCTGGCTGATCGGCCTCTTTGCCCCCCGAGGGAGGAGGCTGGTGCCGGGTGGGAAGGAGAGGCAGGAGGGGGCAGGCTCACCAGCGCTTGGAGACCCTGGAGTAGGCGATCTGTGCTGAGACGTTCCCCAGATGGTCATGGTTGCCAGCCAGCACGTACCAGGGCACGGTGCGGAGCGGGGAGGCAGAGAACACATCCTCGAAGGTCTCCTGCAGCAGAGAGAAGGGCAGCACCCAGCTCAGGTTCAAGCAGCCACTGGCTGCTTCCACCAACTCGAGGAACAACTCCCACCAGGAACGAGGGAACTGTGCATGCTCGGCGTGTGCAACCATCGTGTTGCTGTGCCCTCTCTAGTAAAAGGTCTAGAGGCTTCTCCATGCATCGCCCTCCCCCCACCCCCGCCACTCCAGTGGCACACACCTGAAACCGCTTGTCGTTGACATCCTGCACACCACTGAAGTAGAAATTGTCTCCCAGGGACAGAATGAAGTCTGCGCCCAGGATCTGCACTGTCCTGGCAATCTCTTTGGCATTGGCCATTTCCCGGGCTGTGTAGAATGGGGCGTTGGGGACCCCTCCCCAGTCACCCACAGCGACGAAGCGCAGCATGGGAGTGGGTGTGGTGGCGGCAGCGGCAGCAGCAGCAGCAGCAGCAGCCCGGGGGAGCACCAGCGAGGCTTGCAGGATGAGCAGAACCGTCCACATGTCCATCTGGGAGGGGAGAGACGGGCGTCTGGGGCTTGGGCAGCAGGCCACCCTGAGACCCGCCACTGGCCCTGTTCTGGGAGGGGAAGACATGGGCTCCCTGCAGGGCTGGCTTGGTGCTCGAGTTCCCAGGGCTTCAGGGCAAGAGCTGGCTGGGAGGGTCAGTGGGCGGGCAAGCAGGATCCAGCTGGCAGGGTGGGGAGGGCTGGGTGTGCAGGGGCCCAGCACTCACCCTGGGGGAGGAACAAGCCAGTTGCCTGGGGGCTCAGAGAGGCAGGTGAGCTCCAGTGCAGAGCGGCTGGGCACGAGCCTTTATTTCCTGGGGGGCGGAAATGGATCATTAGAGAGGATGAGGCAGTTTCTCCAGGAGCCCTCCCCTTGGGTCATGTGAGCCAGGGAGCTAGTTCCCCAGCGCTGGCCACGGGATTCGAGGTGGGGTCTGGCACTCCAGGGCAGCCCCCGTGTTTGCCCAGCGGAGCACGTTTGTGTCCTGGGCCCTCGAGTGTGCAGCAAGCTCGATCGGTGCACCCCTCCCAGCCAGCCACCCACCCTGTGTCGGCGTCCTCAGTGGACGTGTTTGTCTGCCCACGTCTGGGTGTGTCTGCACTGTTATCTGCGTGTAGCCGAGCGTGCCTGCCTCGGTCACATGCCTGCTCTGTGCTTGTCCCATGTTCCCATGGCGGTGGACACAGCCACCGGCAGGGTCCTGTGTGGGGTGCCAGGGAGGCCTGCCCGAGTCCTCAAGTGGAACTGGGTGTGGGGGACGAGACCGGTGTGTCCCCGCCTCGCACCCCAGTCCAGCGCATGTGTGTTGTGTCTCTCGGCTGAGTTGTGGGTCTGGTGTGTGAGGTGTGTGTGAAACATCCGAAGTGAGCCCCAATCCCAGGGTCACCCCCCCTTCCCTAAACAGCAGGGGCCTCCGTTTCCAGGAAGTCCAGCCCACATCTTCCCCTCTGCCTCACCCACCCCCATTCCTGCAGGAGGAACCCAGGCAGGAGGGAGCTGGTGACCAGCCGCGTAACCACAGGCTTTTGACCCTCACACCCTCGGCCGCTGCTCTTGAGGCTTGTCTGACCTGCCCCTCCCCTCCCTGCCTCCCTTCTCCCCGGCCCCCTGGATCCATGGACCCGTAGGCACTCACGATGGCTCTCTACAGCCCCTTGCGACGGTGGATGGGGGTCCCCATCCCCAGGCTTGAGGACACAGGTTGGCTGCTTGCTCCCCCCACTCCCGACCCCACAGTCTAGATAAACAGGAAGTGGGTCACGAGGTTAGGCGGAGACCACTCCCCCGGGTGGAGGCCTCCGGTCTACACCCGCCGGGCGGTCTCACCTGCAGTCGGCGGGGCCCGGGGTCAAGGCCAGGCGCGGCTGAGCGAGCCGAGCTGCGGGAACGCCCGGCGCTCGCCGTCGGGGCTGCCCGGGCTTAAAGGACGCGGCGGCCGGGGGCGGCCCAGGTGATCCCCGGTGGCCGGAAGCGCTGGAGCCTGGACCTCCTGGCCCTGCCGGCCGCACCCGGGGATCCCGCGTCACCACGCCTCCGGGGTGCAGGCAGCGCTTCTGTAACTGGGGGTGACGCACTGCACCCCGGAGGACGGCCCATACCCGGCCGACTGCACTGCAGCTCGGCCGGGGAGAGTGACTTGGGGTCCCGGTTTCCATCCCCTGCGGCCCCCCCCCCCCAACGCAGGCAGAATCTCCACCCTTGGGACCTACACACTTTGGGTGCCAGGGCCTCCCTATCGCAGCGCTGGGTGGGGTGGCAGTCCAGTACTGACCCTCGAGGGAGGGTGTCTGTCGTCTTCAATCTCAGTTTCCTGGTCTCTGAACTATTCGTGAGGGCAGAGAGTTCACTCTTCCTTAGATGTGCAAATAATTTACCTTGAAACACTCTCCAGAAGCTAGGGCACAACCCTTCCCGCCTCCTTTTGCAGCTGGTGGTGGTTATTCTGTCACTAAGTCCCACTCTTTCCAACCTTAGGGACTGCAGCCTGCCAGGCTCCTCCAACCAAGGAATTTTTCAGGCAAGAAGACTGGAGTGGGTAGCCATTTCCTTCTCCAGAGGATCTTCTTGATGGAGGGGTGGAACCCGAATCTCTTTCCTCACCTGCATTGGCAAATGGATTCTTAACCAACTGCACCACCTGGGAAACCCACTGTACAGAAAACCTGCCTAGAACTCTGCAAAAATAGCCCAGTCATGAAAAAGCAAACTTTGAAGCGCTGTGGGCTTCCCTGGTGGCTCAGATGGTAAAGAATCTGCCTGCAATGCAGAAAACCTGGGCTGGATCCTGGGTCAGGTAGATCCCCTGGAGAAGAGAATGGCTACCCACGCCAGTATTTTTGCCTGGAGAATTCCTTGGACGGAGGAGCCTGGCATATTATAGTCCATGGGGTCCCTAAGAGTTGGACACAAGTGAGTGACTAACATGTTCCACAGACTGGAGGACAGCCAAGAAATGGGAGGACAAACTGAACATGGGGATCTTGGCCCAGAAAAGGGGTACTTATGGAAAATCTGGTGACATTCAAAGTTTTGTGAATAGTAACACAACTAAGAAACAATCCTGGAGTGGTTACAGGTGTGACATGTACAGGATGCTAGTCATTGAGGCAACAGTGAGATGTATGTTGCAACTCTTTGCGCTGTTTTTAAAATTTTTTTTTTGCAATTTTCCTGTAAATCTAAAGTTATGCCAATATAAAAAAGTTGACTTTGAAAACAGGTGTGATCCAAGAAACTTAAACGTTGATTCAGCATGCGTTGAACACCTGCTATATGCCCAGTACCCAACAGACACAGCAGGGAACAAGACAGATCAGGAAAAACCTGCTCTGCTGGGCCCCAAGTGCTGGTGAAATTTATATTCTATCTGTTAATTACTTCCATTCTTTGGGGGTGGGGTGGGGCATTCTCTTTCCATTTTATACTTTCTGTGCTGTTTGCTGTGCTCACTCACTCAGTCAAGACCAACTCTTTGGGACCCCAGGGACTATAGCCTGCCAGGCTCCTCTGTCCATGGGATTTCCCAGGCAAGAATACTGGAATGGGCTACTGTTTCTTATTCCAGGGGATCTTCCCAACCCAGGGATCGAACCCATGTATCCTGCATCTTGCGCTAGCAGCTGGATTCTTTACCACTACGCCACCTGGGAAATCCATACTTTCTGTACTGTTTGGATTTTTGCTTGAAAAGTGCTTAGTTATTTTGCCAGTAGAATAAAAGCAGACTTCCTCTTAACATATCTGCAGTCTGAATGTACACACAGGAAACAAAGACCTCACTCCAGATTCAGGGAAGTGGTTGTTTTTCTGGGAAGACAGGGAAGGGAACGGAATTGGGGCTCAGGGATAAGGAGGGGTGTCCAGAAAAGGGGCTTCAAATTTATCCCTACTGTTTCCTTTCACGAAAAAGGAAAACAAAATGATCGGAAGCAATTAGAATCCACTGTTAAATTTGGTTCTTCATGTAGCAGGTCTGCGGTGTTGGAAGGATTATCTTCTATGCTTTCTGTATTTGTTGAGATCACACAAAACTATAATATTTGTTATCCTATTGTATTACATGGTCTTTGTAGACACGTCAGAAAATCCTGAAAATCACAAGGGAAAGGATTACACCCGTCTGCCTAGAGAGTCACTATTCAGTAATTTTTTTTTAAAATTAATTTTTCTCTGCCTACATTTTTTCTTCTGAAGAATGGGATGCCACTGATAGAATTTTTTTTGAGGGGCTTCACTGTGTGACATGTGGGGATCTTAGTTCCTGGACCAGGGATCAAACCCATGCCCCCTGCAGTGGAAGCTCAGAGCCCTTCCCTGGACCACCAGGGAAGTCCTATTGATACCATTTTTTGACCTTGTCAAATGTTAACATTTTCTGTATCTTTTAGTTTTTTTTGCTTTTTAAAAAGGTTTTAAAATAACATTTATTTCTTAAAAGTTAACATGCACCAAAACATTTTTCTGTACCTTTTAAATAAAAAAAGTACAGAAGTACATGCACATGAAAATAAATCAGGCTTTGTGTAGAGTGTGTAATGAAACTTGCGACTCCTCAGTTAGGTCTTTCAGGTCACCTCTGGGGTTCTGAGCAAACTCCTCTCTGTTCACTCCAGGGAACCCAGTTCTGGTTCTGATTGTCTGTGGAGGTGGATCAGGGTTTGGCCCTGAGCCTCCTTCCCCATCCACTCCCCCCTTGCTTCCCAACAGCAACGTCAGTCCCATGGCTGAGTTCCTCCCTGCCCTCCCCCGCCTCCCCCGATCACTCTTCTGGCTTCTCACCCTCCCTTCCTGGAACAGGAGCCCTGGCTCTGACCTCAGGCCCTTGGCACTTGCTGTTCCATTTTCGTAGACGATCCTTCCTTCTCCAGCTACCCCTGTGGCTGCCTCCCTACTGTATTGAAGTTCTTTTAACTCATCTAAAAAGCACCCCTCCCACTCCCAGCCCGAATCCCTCTTATCCTGCTGTAGTTTTATCCGCAGCCCTTATCGCTGCCTGTTGACCACACTCTGCTTATCTTGTTTTCAGTCTGTCTCCCCAGACGAATGAGGTCTGAGGTGATAAGAACTGTCTCGGCCAGTCGTGTTTGCTGCTGTTTCTCTGGCATCTAGAGTCTGGGGCCCACATGCAACTCCTGAGGAATTATCAGTGGAAAGGTGGAAGAAGGGGACACCTTTGTACAACATGTTTTTACCTCCAGTCTGAATGTGCAGCCTGCCCAAACCTTCCTGGTTTCACCTACCACTAACCACCCCACTCACCACCAGGGCTCCCAGGGTGGCTCAGATGGTAAAGAATCTCCCTGCAATGCGGAAGACCTGGGTTTGATCCCTGGATTGGGAAGATCCCCTGGAGGAAGGCATGGCAACCCCCTCCAGTATTCTTGCCTGGAGAATCTCCATGGACAGAGGAACCTGGCGGGCTACAGCTCATGGGGTGGCAAAGAGTTGGACATGACTGAGAGACACAGCAAAGCACGTTACAACCACCCCTTTACAGCATG